TATCAGATTTATTAGGTAACTAGGTGCTATTTAGGAGTTGGCATTGGGACCCTTCTTCTTGCCGAAGCCTGGCACAACGTTGACAAAGCGGCGGTTGTACTGCATGCGCCTCTTAGCACGACCAGTCTTCTTTTTCTTCTTCTCTTGCTTTGCAACCTTGAGGGGGGGAAATAAACCAAGAAGGCATCAAGCCACAGGGCAGAAACCCTACAATCTGCCATAGCTCCTGGGGCTTTTTTAACCAGTTCGAGTAACCATTATTCTGACCCCACCGCCCATCCGCCAGTGGTTTTTTCCCTGCCAGTGTATATACCTAAGCCAGGAAAAGCTACAAACATTGGATTTCTGGCTGTCCTACAGCAGTTCACAAGTGCAGTCTTTAACTGGCAAGAGGCCTCAGCTTTGCCCACTGTGTAGAGTCACCACGCCACCAGTGAAACCTAGAACCCAGGTGAACAAAGAGTATTCTACATTAAGCTCCAAGTTGTGAAAACCATCTTTCAGTATGAAAGGAAGAAGCCCATGACTGCTGTTCTTCTACAATGTGCAGGAACATACACACAGAAAAAAGGACAAACCAGATCAGAAAGGAAGGAACTCTCCTGGAACTTGCCCTACTCTGTACAGCAGAGGCAAAGCCATGACCCGACTGCTCAGAAGGCAGCAATCACTCCATTAGTTGAGGGAAGGGAAATACTGAGCTGGGCAGGCGTAGGTGGTCTCTTCCCAAAAGCAGCTCAGCAGCAATTGCTTGAAAGCTACTGTGCTTGGCAGCGGGCCATCTGTGGCAGTCTCTCAAAAGCAGACTGAAGAAAGTGAAGAAATACGCCTCTCCCACCCACAAGGCCCATTTAAGTCATATCTGACTGTTACCTTAGGGGTCTGGCCTCTCACTTTGCCAGCACGAGCCAAGGAGCCGTGGACTTTGCCTGGGAAGAAAAGACAAAGACAGTGCAATGAAGGCCACTATTAGTGTGGTCAAAAAACCAGCTTAAGAAAACGTATTTTTAAAAATTGGTATGCTGAAGCCTTTAGTCCTCATTACTGAAATGTCACTTGTGCCCAAATGTTGAACACACAGCTGCTTCACAGCAAACAGACTACCGGCAAAGCCAGTTATTCCAAGAAAGGAAAAAAAACCCTTTGTTTTTGAGCCCACCATACCCTTGTACAGGGTCATGGTCCAGATTCTCTGGGGCAATTTGCAGCTCTGATCTTCTAATAAGCCCCCTTCCAATTCTTCCAAGTGAGCCACAGGACATCTGCCATTGCTTCATCTGCCCCAAGCAACTAGGACAGACTTAATGGAAAGCTTTTGTCCCATCTGCCTAAGATTTCACACTTACCACCCAGCATGCGAGCAGCAACCTCCACGGTTGTGAGGTCAGTGATACCACACTGGCCAATAATGGCATTATCTTCCAAGGGAGTCCCGCCCAAGAGAACCACCTGATCCTCAGGTGAAATGCCTTCCAAAGACTCGATGTGAGCCTAAGACAAAAGAAGTTCAGCATGAAAGGTCAAAACTGCACCAACATACTCATTAGCACAACAGCAAAAAGCAGGGATAGCAGCATGAAGCCCCCAGGCAAGCACACAAAAAAAACAGAGAGCAAAGCTTTAAGCAGCTCTTGCCCTATTAGCTCTCTAGTAGTCAATTCTCACTATGGAACTACACATTTGCATACAAAATACAAGTCATGAAATCCTCAACAGCCTTTTTTCAGGGGGGAAACAGCATTAAGAGGTGGGCATCTGCAGCAAAGACATGTTGAGGGGGCGTTTTCTGTCATGCTTCTAGCTGGGCTTCAGATGTGTGTCCAAGGGCCGAAACACATTTAAAACTTCCAGTGGGAAAACAGAAGGGGAGGTGGGGAGGGAGGAAAGCTGCAGCAAAAAGACAGCAAGCTGGGAAAGGGATCACCAATCTCACAGCCCACTTCTCTGTTCCAAACTGCCTCTCCCCAAGCATGTTTTTCCTCAGGAAAATGGCTTTGTTTCCGCTACTGCATTTTTACCCCAAGCACGGTTCTCCCCTCATCCTTTTTATCCGCATGAGGGACAGGTTAGGCAAGGAGAGGCCCAAGACCACCCAGCAATCTTAATGGTTGAGCAGCAATTCAGAACCTGCAGTTCTCGGTGAATCAAGCTGCTGGTAAAGAAGTGACCATATCAGAATTTCAAAGCCTCGCACAAATCACATATGTGGAATAAATCCTTCCCAGTGCTAAGTCTGGTACCTACAAGCAACACACAAAGGTAAACCTTCAAAACCGTATTTACTGAGAAGGCAAGTGAAAACTGAAATGCACAAAGATGACAGGGCTCACTTCTGGCTCCCCAGTGACACTGTGGCATCACACTGTCTGGAGGAGCTGCTTCCCCTGGGCTCACTGTAAGCAATGTTCCAATTTCCCCCCCAACTGAGCAGAGCACCTCACATCCTGCTGTAATCTTAAAATGGGCAATGGGCAGTGCAAGACCCTGTGGAGTTCCACACTGCTGCTAAGCGGGGTTTCCTTTCTTATTGAGCAGCCACTCACGCACACTGACTGTAAGCCTCATTAAAGATAGCAACAACCCCAGATATCATGTCAGCTTCTCTTAGTTGTTCCATCACCAAGACACATTGCATCTGGAAAAGTTTCTTTTTTTAATTTGTTGTAAACTGCCACGACGGTTTGATTAAAAGGCAGGATATAAGACTTCAAGCACAAAGAATAAGATGGAGGGAGACAGATTGGAGCACAACAAGGCAGGTGAACAATTCCTTACCTTTAGGTGAGCAACAGTTTCTTGCCCAGACACCTCAAGGGTGTGCAGATTCTGTGCACGAATGAAGAGCTGCATGGTTCCTGCTGTACTGAGGAAGAGCAGTGAGATTAAGACTTTACTCTCTAAAGAACAGAGTCCAGCCCAGAAGGACCATCCTGGACACTGCTCGTGCCAGAGGCAAGAACCACATTTCTCCAAATGTTCAGTGCCATCAACTTGACCAGGACCAGCCTCTCTAAACTTGGGGGGAAATCAGCTGACTGATCTGTTCTGCACGCTAGGGTAGTGTAGAGAGAAAGAAAAATCCTGTTTTTGCATTCTAAGAGTGAGAAGAAATCTACTCCCAACCCTCCTCCAGGGACTGAGGATTCTTATCCCTTATCTTTTTTTATCCTTCCTATCAATACCTTTGCAGAATCAGAATCCCCGCTCTCCAAAAAACCCGCTTCCCATCTCTCCCACTGATCCACCAAAGAGCACAGGAGTCCTCTCCTTTAAGGGGTTAGTGATTTTATTAAAGTTGGTTTTTATTGTTGTGAGTTTTATATATTGTAATCCACCCTGAGACCACAAGTGGGAAGGGCAGGATAGAAATAAAATAAATAAATAAAACCTCATCTCCTCACCACTACCCTGAAACAGAACGCATGTGTCTGAGCTCTTACTGGATTCACCTTCAAAAACCTCGGAAGCCTCAAACCCCTGGAAGAAACCAGAACCCTCTTCCCTTCACCACGATAGTTACAGTTTACTCCCCCCCCTCTTCCCAAGATTTAAACAAACAATTCATGCCCAGTTGGACCCCAACTCTTGATTCCTCCAAAATAAACCGCAGCCAGGAGTTCTGGCTTTTAACTTCCAGCACCCTCCCCTCAAAACATCCTGGCTCACCAGCAATGTTCCCTCTAAGCTGCGGAGTCTTGTGAGCAGAAATTCTACTTTGTGAGCTACTGGCATTAAAGTTGTGAGCGAGCGATTTGGCTTCTGCATAAATTAGTTTGCTCTGGAGCCCTCCTTCCTGAGCTAAGACAAAAATGTGTGAGGCAGAGGCTAAAAAACTGTGAGCTAGCTCACACTAACTCAGCTTAGAGGGAAGACTGCTCACCAGTCGTCTTCCCCGTCCAAAAGAGAACCCGGGAGTCGCGATCCAGCTGGCCCTCGCCGCGCAAACTCAGGGATCCGCTTATTCTCAGCCCCCTCGGTGAAATTTGGGGAAAGAACCCGCAAACCCGCCTCCCTCCTTTTCGTCAAGCGAGTGGATCGTTCCAGTTCCCCTCAGCCACCCTCTTTTCAGCCCCTTCAGCCTCACCAGTCGCACGCCGTCCCAAGATGGAGACCGGAGAGAAAAGGAAACTTCCGGAACCCCGCGCACGCAGATAAGAGAAGTAAACGGGGAGGGCGGGGCTTTGCATACGCAGGCGCACTGAGGAAGCGTCCGCTCTCGTCTATGATTACGCACAATCTTCCTTCCTCTCCGTTCTCTCATGAACACAACTTGTCGGCTTGATGTCGTCATCAATCCGCGCAGCCATTTTTGCTGTAGAGGTACATAAAGACTAAAGGGACACGCCAACGTCTGGGGATTAAAGACTCAGAGCTCTCCTTTCCTACTCGTGTCTGATGAAGGGAGCGTTGACTGTCAAAGCTTAGACCTTGAAAATCTTGTTGGCCTGGTCTGTAAGGCTCTACTGGATTCGAATCTGTAGCCCCTTAGAGACCAAGAAGATTTTCAGGAGAGTCAAAGCAGCCTTCGTCAGACACATTCTCGAAAGCTTATACCTTGAAAATCTTGTTGATCTCTAAGGTGCTCCTGGTCTGTCTCACTGCTTTGCGTCTGTGTCATTGTGTCTGACGAAGTGTGCGTGCACACGAAAGCCTATACCTTGAATAAAACCTTGTTGGTCTTAAAAGTGCCACTGGACTCCAGCTTTGTTTCGCTGCTTTAAACCAACACGGCTACCCCTCCTGATTCTGTCCCACTGCAGACCGAGCTGGTTACCCTCTGAGACATACAGATAGACAAATACAGATAAAGAATTATTTTATAGCTTTTCACCACAGAAACTTTTAATGCCGAGAGACGCAATTCTTCTTTCATCACGGCCAGAGGTGGCTTCCAATTTTACCGGAAGTGTATATAATGTTTTACGCTCGCATTTTTCTATCTCTATGGTGCTCCCCCCCCCCCCGGTTCGTTCCCGGCGGCCACCGCGCGGAGGATCCGGGAGGGGGAAAGATGGCGGCCCTGGCGGTAGCGAGAGTTGGGCTGCGGAGGGCACGGGTGCTGGACGTACGAATGCAACGGCTGCTGTCTTTAGGAGCGGCCTATCTGGTAGGGGTCACTGGGGCGGGGGGAAGGCTTTGCATGGGACTGGGCAGATGTAGCTTGGTTTGGAGGACGCCGTAGACGAACCTGAGAAAGAAAGGGGGAAACACTAGTTTTCTAACGCCCAGGAATTCCTTTCCATGGTAGCGTTATCAAGATGGATAACCATGTCAGTCTGTCTGTAGGAATAGAAAAGAGCAAGAGTCCAGTAGCACCTTAAAGACTAACAAAACTTTCGTGAGTCACTGCTCACTTCTTCAGGTACAGCAGTGACTCATGGAAGCTCATTCCCTCACATATTTTGTTAGTCTTTAAGGTGCTACTGGACTCTTGCTCTTTTCTAATAGTAACTATATAGCAGGCAGAAATTTAGTAGTTTTTAGCATCTCTCCCCCTTCATCTTCTTGCCTTTTAAAAGAGTTATGCCAGCAAAAGAAACAAATGAAGAGGGTGGTAGTGATTACTATCTGTATACTGTACTGGGAACTACAGAGCATTATTTACAAGGTGTGTGTGTGTGTGTGTGTGTGTGTGTGTGTGTGAGAGAGAGAGAGAGAGAGAGAGAGAGAGAGAGAGAGAGAGAGAGAGAGAAGCATCGGCATATAAATGTTATAAATAAATACATTTTATTGTTATCCTCCCCTTCATCCAGTGAATTCAGAGTGGAATGTGTTGGTTGTGTATAGTATTTAAGAAAGTAGTAAGCTATAAATGTACATATTGAGAGAGCATAACAGTCAACACAGTGTTATTCGCAAAGCAGCATGGATGCCTGCCACCATATCTGAGAAGTTCAGAGTATGCCTGGCAGGTTCTGCAAAACTGCTTATAATGATCCTAATCCCAAAACTGCCTATCCAGAGACCCTCTGCAGCCCCTCTGGACTCCCTGAAAATGTGCATTCTAGTGTGTATTATGGCCACAGTTTCTTGTCCTCAGAAGCTTAAATGAGGTGCTCCCACCTTGTCAGGGACAAATTTTTGTGATGGAAAGCTTAAACAAATGAAGCTGTGTTAAACTGAATCAGACTATCAATATAAGTATTGTCTGCTTGGACTGTCGGTAGCTATGCAAGGTCTCAGGTAGAAGTCTTTTGCTTAAGGTGCTGTTTGACCCATTTAACAGGAGATGCTAGGGACTGAACCTGGGAACATCTGCATGGATAGCAAGTGTTCTGTCATTGTCATTCACATGTGAGCAGCACATGCCAAACAATGAAAGTTCTCCGTAGCCCACTGGAGCAAAAAAATAATTCTCAGTGGAGACATTGTGTGTTGACTGCAATCTCACTGTGTTTCAGAGCCAGGAGTCAGCTGAACCCAACCCTACAGGCCTAAAATATCCAGGGATTGTTGAATCTATTGAAGAATATAGATTTGTGGAGAGGCTTATACCTCCCTCCAGAGTACCTGAACCGCCCAAACATGACACATACCCCACCCCATCTGGGTGGAGGCCTCCACAAGGTAAATATGGTGGGACACTGGTTGGGAATGTAAGCATGACATGGACATGTATAGGTTATGTTTGGTAGAGTCTTGGACTAGTGTAGCTGCACCCTTAGACTGAATGCACATGTTATCTTCTGCTGGAACTAAGCAGGCCTGGCCTTGTAGGATTGCATTAATGGCCTGACATAGTAAATATGCAACTTTGAGTAATTCAGTTCTTCTTCCTTTGCCTCCTACCGCTCCAAACCACCTTTCTTCCTCATCCTTGATAGAACATCAAATGTTGCTGCTGAAACAAGATACACAAATTGAGGATTTAGTAGAGTGGCTAGTTGGAAAGAGGGCTTAGTAGTCAGTTGTACTGTGCAGAGCTAACTGTTCTTACATTGAGGTGGGCACTTAATCCCTCTAAGCTGTGGAGTCTTGTGAGCAAAAATTCTACTTTGTGAGGTACCGGCATTAAAGTTGTGAGCAAGCAATTTGGCTACTGCATAAATCAGTTTGCTCTTGAGCCATCCTTCCTGAGCTAAGACAAAAATGTGTGAGCCAGAGGCTAAAAAACTGTGAACTAGCTCACGTGAACTCATCTTAGAGGGAACACTAGTGGGCAGCAATGTTGGTCTAAAACAGTAGAACAAATTTTGAGTCCAGTGGCACTAAGACCAACAAAGGTTTATTCAAGGTATGGACTTTCATGTGAACGCACACTTCCTCAGATACATTGAAATGCAAGTTAACAGTTCATATATATATATATATATATATAGGCAGCTGTCTCTACATAGGTGAACAGCAAAGCTGTGAGGTTTAGCAAGGCTGTTGCATTCTGTGCTTTGAGTGGACGGTGTGTTACTTCCATCATAAGATTTGAATGAGAGCCAGAAACACTTTGTTCATGTTTCAGTTTTCTCTGCTTTCTTGTCAGATCCCCCTCCTGCCCTTCCTTATTTTGTACGGCGGTCCCGCATGCACAACATTCCTGTTTACAGAGAAACCACCCACGGCTGCAGAAAGATGACACTTATCAGGAAGGTTGAAGGTGATATTTGGGTAGGTGTTTGTCACCTCTTGGTGCTGTGATAGTAAAGGATGGTGAGCATAACAGCCCCCCGGCCCAGCATTTCAGCTGCTAGGTGGTAGATTTTCCCATCAAGAGTCAATTGTTGAAAGTCAGAAGGTCCACATAGATGGTAAACAGGGCAAGAGGTGTTTGTAATGGGTTTGTACTACTAAACAGCTGCATTGTTCCTGCCTGGCACTTGTAGCTCAGAAGAGATGGGATTCTTTAAATGAAGAGTATGTGAACTAGGTTTCTGAACTCCTCTCTCTTCCTTCTCTCCCACAGGCCCTTGAGAAGGAAGTGAAGGAATTCCTCACAGAGCTTTCTGGAAGGACACCAGCCACCCAAGTCAATGAAGTTGCCTGTTTCATTCGCATCAAGGGTTATTTTGACGAGGAACTGAAGGAGTGGCTGATGGACAAAGGTTTTTAAATAAAACAGACTTGGCAAAAGGGCCACTTGTTTGTCTTCCATGAAGAGCTGTTAACTGTGATGGGATTAAGCAAGAACATGGCAATATTTCACTTGCTTAAAGCATTTTATTAGCCACCTTTCTTCTTTATGGAGTTCAAGGTGGCTTACCATATAAAAAAATAGAGAACATAAAAATATACAAAATCATGATTTAGGAGTGCTTTAATGAAATATCCCCAATAATTTGGGGGAGGAGAGATCAAAAGCAGCCTTACTTTTTGGCTCGAGCCTCACTCTTACATTCTTGCAACGAGCTGCATATTCTAGAAACAGCTGTAGAGGTCTTCATTAAAGCTGCATGAGCAGTAATCTCTGTATACAGCAGGTACCTGAAGAAAGAAGGCCTTCCTGGCACTAAGCCTCTGAATCCCAGAGCTAGGAAGCAACATTGGGAAGGCCTCAGCCTCTATGCCCTGTTGGCTGTCCAGAGGAACTGGTTGGCCACTGTGTGAGACAGGATGCTGGACTTGATGGACCATTGGTCTGATCCAGCCGGGCTCTTATGTGGTCTTCTCACGGATACTTCCCCCCCTTATTAAATAATGCTGAATCTGACATACTGGTGTGATTTTGTAGAGGCAATTACTTATACCTTTGTTATTTGTGACAAAAGATCTGGGCTTGTTTAGATACAGCACAACCACCACTTCTTCTGTGACTTCTGGTCTTAGAGTCAGCTCATGTCTTTGGCACAGCTAACCAGCTGCAGACTGTGCCTTCTTAGTTTGAAAGAAGCAGTCGGCCAGCTTCCCAGCAAAGCTGGCTGTGACTTAATTCTGCATCTACAGCAACCTGAAACACGGTCAGTGAAGAGCATTGCTTTGGCTGTGACAGATGACAGAAATGTGAAGCCCGCAGGGCTTACCCAACATCAACCCAGTTTTTCTGCCTCTGCTGTCCACTTCCATTGGGCAGGGTTGACCGCTGCATGGCCAGAGTCAAGCCTGAACTGACTGTCAACAGTATTTGCTATAGAATTGAAGCATACCAATCAGTGGTTACATAGTGAGAAAATAAGGTTATTTTGAATTGTGTAATTCTACGTCCAGAATTCCGTAGCACTTGGGTACTTTTGTTGGCATATTTAATGTTGCCCTCTATTCTAAACAATAGTTAACAACTCTTAATTGGACTCAGTGTTTAAGCAAGGACCCAGCACAGTTTAGTTGGTTAAGAGTGATGGAATCTAATCTTGAGAACCGGGTTCGCTTCCCCACTCCTCCATATGAAGGCTGCTGGGTTCTCTCAGAACTCTCTCAGCCCCACCTACCTCTTAGGTGTCTGTTGTGGAGAGAGGAAGGGAGTGTGATGGTAAGCCCCGTTGAGACTCCTTGAGGTAGAGCAAAGTGGGGTATAAAAACCTTCAGAACAAAGAGGCCACAGGAACGCTATGACTAGGCAAGATGGAACATACTAGTTGACAGAGTAAAAGATTCAACATGAAGGTGGTGTTAAATGCAATTTTTAATATGTGCCCCTAGTATAACCTATTCTTAAAATTAGACAACCAACCCAACTACATATGATCTCCTTTTACAAACCCTTGGGAACACCGATGGCTTAAGCATTCTGAGTAGTACAGCTTTAAGGAGTTACGGCTTCCCTGCTGCTACCTCCCTCCAATGTCTACTGTAACAGTTTAAAAATACACAGGTTCTCTTTGGAAATGTAGGATTCCTGCGACAGATATTCAAGTAGAACTGGTCAGTCTTGCAGTGTAATACAGCTTTTGTTGATGGTAAATCAATATAGACCCAAATGCATGCACCACTTTTGAAGTTGTACTCAAAAGTAGATGTTCCTCTCACTGCTTTAAACAAGTTGTTGGGATGTTTAACATGGCTCAAAGACATCCTTATTTCCATCTCTGAAGACATGGAAATTAAACCTAATCAACATATTGTCAGTCACCTTTAAGAATCTGGTGCCTCATGATAGGTTAAACTGGGGAGTTGGGGGCATCTCATGCCAACAGGACTTGGACAGGGTGCTAGCCAAGATTTAGATATATGTGAGGGGGGGAGGATGTGTACAGAGAGGAATCCATCACTGGTAGTCCTCTTCCAAGATCTGGTACCTCGAGTCAAGGATAGTAGTACATGTGGGACATCACCCCTATGCAGTTTCCATGGTTATACTCATCCTGTTGGAACTGAATGACTGATACATTGAAGCCACAGATAAACCGTATCAGCCACTATCTGAGGGTCCCCCCTCCCCCCGGATCCCATATTATATCTCAATGGAAATCTAGAGGACACCTGTCAAGAATGAACTGATTTGCTGGAACAAAACCCCCAAATGTCCAACCCCAACAAAAAAATCCCAAGCTGCCCTTTGAAAAGGGACACACAACACTTCATAACAGCATTCCAAAATAAAAGTTACAAATGTTTTAATAAAATTAATTATAAGTTACAGTTTCATGGAACAGGAAACACCCTCCCATTCTCCAGCACTGAAGGTTCCACCGTGGAGAAAAAGCAAGGAGGAGCAGACACGTTGGCCCCACGTCTGATCCTGCCCGGCTCCTCCAGTCCAAGAACTTCCCAAAGAGGCAAATGTAGCTACATGACTGGCACAAACTGATCAGACAGGTCTGGCCCACCCTTTCCCTCACTGGAATGACAAAGCCCATGAGACAACAGTAAGACTGGAAAGGAAAGGGGGCTCACAAGCAGGGTAGGGGCCGGTGGTCCCAGGCACTCGGGTCACCAGGACCAAGGGACGCTGCCCAGCTGCTGCATGCAAAGAAGGGTGGGCTGTGTTGGAGGGAGATGGGAGCTTGTTTTGCAACCCAGCCTGTTAAGGCACTGATGATGGAGCAGAGCGCTTAGGGCACCCCCTTATTATTTATTACTGAAGGAGTGTACAGATTGGACACCAAACAAAATGACCCAACGCTGGCTGAAATGGGAGGTCGTGGTCGGGAAGACTAGTCCTTGGTGTGGTGCATCTGCATAGGCAGAGGAGGCAGCAGAGGTCACTCAAGGACAGCCATAAGGAGATGCAGCTCACAGAAGGCACTGCCATGGCGGCCACTGAGTCCACATTTGTTCTTGATGATGTTGCTGATGTTCTTCAGC